ATTCTTTAAGAATGAATGTAATAAATGATTTTAGTAGTATTGATAACATAGAATAAAATGTTTTTTTTCAAGATAACCATTATCACATTCTGTTAGAATGTCTGAATTTATAGAATTATTATCCAAAAAAAAAATCAAAATTTTAAGTTAAAAGAATTAGTTATTCCATAAAATCTCCAATTTTCCTTTTTTAAATTTATGTTAGTTGACTAAAATACCTTTATTATGAAATTATATGTTATTTTTCAATTATCTTTAATTCAATCTTATGTATTAATCACTTTCTTAAAATAACTAAAATGATTGGTCCACAATCAATCCTATATCCACACAATAATTAGTTAGAATACAATAACCTAAGCATATATATATATATATATATATATATATATATATATATATATATATATATATATATATATATATATATATATATATATATAGGGCTAGGTTATAATGTGGATGGACACCTATTGTGCGGACGTGTGGACAACGGTATTTTATGAGAATTACTAAAAGAAGAGGTCGTTTGCTAATGTGAATACGTTCAACCTTACACAATTATGGTCATTTTCATGCATTCTCAGTAATTCTTATTCAATTTTGTTCTTACACATCATTTTTTACTCATTTTTATTTTTACAGAATACGACTCAAAAAACATTCTGACAACATTCTGACAGAATGAGAATAATAAAAAAAATCTATAATAACCTTATAGACGATTTAATTAGTGAGAATACGTGATATGACAATTATGTAATATTGAACTTTGTTATTCTCAAGAATAGCACTGTCTACACGTCGACACAATAGATGTCAATCCACATTTGAACCAAACTCTCTTTCTCGCTCTCGTTTTCTCTCTCTCTCTCTCTCTATATTATTATATATATATAATATATAGTAGATATATATATATATATATATATATATATATATATATATATATATAATATATATATATATAATGTAAGGCCCCCATTTAAATTGGGCTAGGATCTTCATAAGATGAAGCTTAGGGGCACAAATTATCATTCCTCTACAATTAATATGTCTCTTCTTACAACTAATATTATTGCGTCATTCCATTTGTAAAAACTTGCATGCTAAGGAATAGATAAAATGTAAAAGCCATTTTTAGGATCCTCTCAGTTGAAGACTTCAAAATATCAAAGAAAAGGTTTTGGGGTAAACCTCATGCCACTGCGTGGTAGGTTGATGACCACGACGTGGCCATAACACTTAAATGTAGGACACGTCTGGATGGTCACCACGGCGTGGTGAGATGGTGACCACGAGGTGGTGCTCGGTTCATTCCAAGCCCATAAGATTAGGGTTTTGCGTCAGCTCATCTACTAAAGGTTGTAGAAAAAACATCTATATTTTTTTCTGGGACTCTTCTTCCCAGGAATGAGCAAAGGAATTTGCATGTACTCATGTTTGAAAGGAAACCAAGGAGGTAGGTTGTAAACCGTAATAAAAACGACCAACATGAATATGCGCTCCCGTATGAACTATCTGGACAAAACCCATCGGTACACAAACATAGACGAAACGATTGCGTGTATCTTGTGTAAAAGCAGGAAACACTATATCAAAATGAATCCACGCCTTTCCTTTATTAGGATGTGTTATTTTTTCATGATTTATTGGATGATCTGAGTGCCAAGTCATATTGTGGGCCATTTTCTTTGAATAGAACAATCTTTGAAGTCTTGGTCCAATCGACATGTAGGTCATCACTAAATTAGGCACCTTGTTAGAATTCTTCTTGTATCTACTTTCCTTACATACAACACAATCATCCATATCAGAAAACTGGCCAACTAATAGTATGCAATGGTTGATACATACAAGAATCCGTTGTGACAACATCTCTAGTGACTTCAATGTCGTAAACTCCTGCTTCCTGGTACGCATTTATTCATAATTTATTTATTTTTGATGAGCTACTCGACGAGTTGGGAGCCCCAGACTCGTCGAGTAGAAAGATTGGACGTGGGTTTTAAGCCATCTACTCGACGAGTTGAGACCTTCAACTCGACGAGTAGGTCTGCCAGAATGAAACCCTAATTTCGGGGTTTTGCACCCTATTTAAGCATCTTAATCTCCATCTATTAGCATCATTTCCAGCCTCCAAGTCCCAAAACCTAATCCATTTTGAGAGCTTGTGAGCCATTTTGAGTGAATCTTGGGTGTTTTGAAGCTTGTGAAGAAGAGAAGAAGCTTGGAGTTTCAGAAGGAAGCTAGTAGATCCAAAAGCAACATCTCATCCTCCTCATTTTTGGTAATCAAGTCTCAACCTTGCTTAGTAGCTTGTTAGATCTCTTCTTTGTCACTTTATTGGGTTTTTGGGTCCAAGAAGGTTGACCCTTGGGATATGGACGTCCCAAGCAAGGATCCCTTCAGATCAGGAATCATTAAGGGTTGTTATGGCATAAAGGTGCAAACTTTATGCCATTGGAATCCCCATGCAAGCTCTAAGGTGTTATTTTGGCCCTTTTAGCCCGAAAAGGCCATGCATGAAAGGAAAGTTAGGAGCTTTACGTGTCCAAATGAGGTCTAAGGACTAGATCTATGTTAGTATGCTTTAGTTTGGAGTATTATGACTTTTGGACCAAGATCTATGTTCTAGAGAGTTAGGGTTTGAGCTAAACCCTTTAAGAAGGACAAATAATGGGTAAAGTTGGAAAATTTACCCTGAAAAGAGTGTTTCAAGTAAGTAGATGATATATAGGGTTTAGATTTGAAGGATAGGAGCTTAATTCATTGTGATGGCTCAAACATACAGAGGAACTCAGCGAGTCCATAGAAGGACTCGACGAGTTGAATCGTGTTGTCCCGATTCTGTGCCAGATAGAACTCGATGAGTCGGGGGGATGACTCGGCGAGTTGAATCGCAACTTCCATGATTTTTGTGTTATAGAACTCGACGATTTGATAGGTCCACTCGGCTAGTTGAGTCAACCAGAATGTTGACTTTGACCAGAATGATGACTTTGACCAGGGGTAAAATGGTCATTTTACCCTTAGAAGGATTATCAGTTTTTGACTAAGTGATTATTATGATAATGATATCCGGGGAGTCGTTGGAGTAGCTATTAGAGATTCCTCACACAAGATTTCAGCATCCAGCTTGAGAGGTGAGTTTTCCTCCAGTAGGAACGGGTCTAAGGTACCAAGGCCGGCCCGTTTATGTATGTTAGTATGTTCCGGATTAAGATCCGAAGTCGGGCGGGGTCCGATATAGGCTTATATGTTTTCCGGATTTCGATCTGATGCCGAGACGGTACCCGAAGGATGTTAGTATGCTTGACGTCTTTGTGATTCTTGCATGTGAATGTATTTGTATGTTTCCGGACTACGGTCCGATGCCGGGGTGGTTCCCGAGGAATGTTTGTATGTTTCCGAATTTCGGTTCAATGCCGGACGGGGCCCGAGGAATGTTTATATGTCTATAGTTAAGTGTTATGCTTATGTTATGTGTGTTAGTAGTTTATGATCATATGTATGCCGAGCGGCTCCCGATGCCAGATGCGGTCTGATGCCGGGCGGGCCCGATGCCGGACAAGCCGATGTCGGGTAGTGCCCGATGTAGTACGGCGGGGACCAATGTATGATATATGTGATTATGTGTATGGTACAAGGTTGCAGAAATCGGGATTAATCGTGGATTAATCGCTTGACGTTCTACAACCGATTAGGATTAGGGGTCCTTGGCGTTAATTGGTCAATTTCGGTCAACGACGGGCTTGGCGGTCTTGGCGCTCTTGGCGGTCAACGAAAGTCAAAATAAGTCAAAGGTCAAAGTTCGGTCAAAATTAAAAAAAAGGCTCCAAAAAAGTTCCAAAAAACTCGTCTAACCCTAAAATCGTCATATTCATCAGCCGTTTTTGTGCTCTCTCTCAAAATTGAAGCGACGCAAGCCTACCCCGACGATACAACTGATGCCGACGCCCACCGTACTCCGACAAACCTCCAGTGGCCACCGGTGACCTCCAGGGACAGCGGCGTTCGTATTTCAGGTTAGCAATTTCTCTTAACCCGTTTTCGTTTTTCTCCCCAAAAAAAAGTCGAGTTCTTGTTTGTTCATTGAAAGTCCACTTCCGATAATGTTATACAATTGATTTGTTCTTTCGTTTTAGAATCTTGTTTAGAATTGATTCATTTGTTAATTCTTGAAAGTTGAAACAATATTCGAATTTGTAAACAGTGGCCGGCCATGTGGGTTTATGTAGCACATAAAAGCCAATATTCATGGCTTCCTTTTTTCTGTTAACACGAGAAACAAGTGTATGCCATAAATTTCCTTTTTTTATTATTTTCTTAGTAATTTATTATAAATATATTAGAAACAAGTTTGTGTGTTGTGTTGGAATATAATTTGAATCTGTCATTTGGAAAGATAACAAAGGACTAATATGTTAACTGTTGATGTGCTAAATATAGTTTCCATAGTTTCCACGAACTTACAAAGAAAGAAAATATATTCTCAAAGATGCCTACATGCTTCTTCAAGATTACAGCTAAAAATTAGCTTGACATTTTTGCTGTGATATTTTGATGTCTACTGAAAATTTATGATTTATGTTGTATATTTCTGATGTATTTTTTTTGGTATGTATAACAGTGTTCAATCATGACATCTAAAAATTCGACTTCACCATCGGCGGGATCAACCGCCATCGGTTCTCATAACGGAACTCAGATGATATTGGTTGGGAATATGGTTTTGCCCGGATAAAAACAAGATGGATACAGTGAAATGTAACTTGTGTGGAAAAGTGTTTACCGGGGGGGGGGGGGGGTTACCAGATTGAAACAACATATTGGTCATGTGACGGGAAATGTAAGTCGATGTCCAAACTCTACAAAAGATGATCAATTGAAAATGCGAAATTTTTTCAATGAAGGGAAAATAAAAAAGAAAGCTAAACACGCACATGACGAGGCCTTAAGAGCGGAGGCAACACAAGTGTTAAATGATAGTGTTTGAAATGGATGAAGTAGAAGATTCTTTGGGGTTGAAAGCACCAAATATTATAGGACCCATGGATGGCTATGCAAACAAAATAAACCCCGAAATTATGGAGGGAAGGGAAAAAAAAGTTGATCTTAACGATGTTGTTCGGAAAGAAAGAATTTTAGGGTGTCATAAATTCATTAGTAGGTGGGCTTATAAAACTGCAATTCCTTTTCATGCATTGGAAGATGATAGCTTCAAAATGATGTTGGAGGTTGTTGGACAATTTGGAACAGGGCTCCCACCTCCTACCGGTATTCTTTGAGTGACCCACTCCTAAAGCATGAGGTTGAAAGAACAAAAAGCTTGTTGAAAAAAAACGAAGAAGAATGGAAAGAGATTGGATGCTCGATCATGACGGATGCTTGGTCCGATAGAAAGAGAAGGAGGATTATGAATTTATGTGTAAATTCAAAAATGGATACCGTTTTTTTATCATCAAAAGAATGTTCCAATGAAGCACATACAAGCCAATACATATATGATTATGTGGAATCTTGTATTCAACAAGTTGGTCCCGATCATGTTGTTCAAGTTGTGATCGATAATGCCACGAATAACATGGGAGCTGCAAAGTTACTACAAGAGAAAAGACCAACTATTTTTTGGACATCATGCGCGACACACACAATTAACCTTATGCTCGAAGGTATTTATATTTTTTATTACATTATTTACCAATTTAGTTTTTTATCATCTTTTATTATACTATATTCATTAATTGTTTATGTAATTTTTTTTTTCAAGGGATCGGTGGACTTCCAAGGTTTAAGAAGTATTAGATAGATCAAGCAAAGAAATTAACCATCTTCATTTATGCTCACCACAAAACCTTGGCAATGATGAGAAACCACACCAAGAAAGGGAAATTATCCGACCGGGAGTCACGAGATTTGCTTCCGCCTTTCTAACATTACAAAGTTTATCCGAAAAGAAGGAGCAACTAAAAAATATGTTCTCTAGTAACGAGTGGGAGGAATGCAAATTTTCCGGTACCCCTAAAGGAAGAGCCTCATATGGAACGGTGACAAGTCTCCAATTTTGGGCCGGTGTGACACAATGTTTAAAAGTGTTTTTCCCTTTGGTGAAAGTCCTTCGAATGGTTGATGCGGATTGGAAGCCCTCAATGGGTCTTGTTTACGGTGAGCTTAAAGTAGCAAAAGAAGAAATTATGAAAGCTTTGGGTGGCAACGAGAAAGCTTACAAGCCTATTATAGATATCATAAACAACAAGATGAAAGGTAGGCTAGATTCAAAGTTACATTTGACGGCTTATCTTTTGAATCCTTATTACCATTATAATGATTCCCAATCCAACATGATCCCGACGTAATGGATGCGGTTCTTGAATTTTTTGATACATTACTTTTGGGGATTTTGAGATGCAAAGACAAGTCGTGATGATTGATTTGCCAAAATACAAGGAAAAGGTTGATAGATTTGGAGCGGATCTTGCAATTAAAGGTTGTATAGTGAACAATCCCGACTTTGATCCGGGTAATACGCTTTATGTTTATTTTAATAATTTATGAAATAATAGAATTTTATATATATCAATTTAATAATGTTTTTTTCTTTAATATTATAGCAAGATGGTGGGGACTTTTTGGGCGGCTCAACTCCTCATTTGAAAAAGATTGCAATGAGGATTCTTTCTTTAACTAGTAGCTCATCGGGTGTGAAAGAAATTGGAGCACGTTTGAAGCGGTTAGTTATAAAGTTGTAATATTTAAATATCAAGAATGTTTTTAACCTTTTGATATGTGTAATTTTATAGGTACATACGAAGAAACGAAATAGATTGGAGACAAATAGATTGAACAATCTTGTTTATGTTCAATTCAATGCTAATCTAATGGAAAAAAACAAAAAGAGAAAGATAGGACTTTGAAGTGCTTTTAGCAATGATTCTCACTCGACTCAAGAGAGATTATAGATGGAGATGACGGTGATGGAGATGAAGTTGACCCCGAATCAGTTATGGAAGCGATTGATGAAGCTCTCAAGACTAATGATAATCAAGTACCCCGAAAAGTTCAACAACAAGAGAACTTTATGATGAAGATTTCGAATCCGAGAATGAGGAGCAAGTGTTTGAAGAAGATGAATATGAGTCAGATGGAGTTAAAATAGCGGAAGAACTTGAAGATTAGAAGAATATGGACATTTAAATGTATAAAATGTGTGTTTTTATTATTATTAAACTTATTTTAGACTTGTAATGATGGATTTGACTTCAATGTTTAAATACTAGTTATGACTTTTTGTATGGTTATTTGCTTATTTTATGACTTTTTGTATGGTTATTTGCTTATTTTATATTAATAATTAATGGTCCCCGATTAATCTCCGTCGAGACCGATTAATCCCTTAATCCCAGTCGACCGCCAAACTACCGTCGAACGATTTCTGCAACCTTGGTATGGTATGTGGTAGTTTGGGGAGACTCACTAAGCTTCATGCTTACAGTTTTCAGTTTGGTTTCAGGTACTTCCGCTAGTAAGGAGAAGAGCTTGGGATGATTGCATGACACACACCACACTTTTTAGCCTGGGAGGATTCACTCTGATGTTTTGACCTATGATTTTGATACACTGACAGATGTTATGATATTTTCGAGATATACGATTTTGTCTTTTTATATGATGGATGATATTTATGGTTTTTATTAATGATTAAAAATGAAAATTTTTGGCCTATATTTTGATGTGTTCAAGTTGGTATCAAGCCTTGGTTTGAGCGATTCGGGCACACTCTCGGGTTTTTCTGAACTAAAACTGAGGACTTGGTATGAAAATTTTCAAAAGAAAATCATTTTTATCAAAAGAACTTTAAAAAGAAATAAATTTTTGAAAAGAGAAAAGGGTGTAGTGCATGCAATCAGCCGAGCTCAAGTAAGTACTCCCAATTATCCATACACGTTTATGTTATGATATGAGAACTGCATGCTATATTAGGGCTAAGGATCTAGGAAGG